TATTTGTTAGGAGTCATCAAGTAAAAATCTAAATATTTGCTACGAATACCTTTCGAAGTAGGTCATCGTGGAAGTTTATAGTGAAAACTACTATTGGTTGATATATACTACTATTTCGATCCATTATACCATTAATAGTATTGGGATTTGTGTCGCATGCTTTTTTGTTGAACGTCAGCAGTTCGGGCAAAACAAATCAATTTTTAGTGATAAAGTGGAGTTTTTTAATATAAGGAGGCTGATATTTTCTTGTACGAAGTTTTCTACTCGTTAGTGCGCGACTTTCACTATCTTTCATCTAACTTCCGTTTCCTCTGCTGGCCATTTCATCACTTCTCTCCGAATTTCCGTTTTTAAGACTACAAAAGGGTGTGATTGTGAATGTTGATGTGGCTATGTTTGTGGGTATGAATGAATACTCTAATCGATATCTCCATTCACAGCCAGCTACCTCAGCTACACCTGCACCCACACGCATTTTCATGCTTGTCATTCACATCCTCATCCACACCCACATTTCATACAGGCACCTATATTCATACATCTCCCTCACATCCTCATCCGCACCGGCATTCATACTCCGCACTCATAATAATAAACTCTGTTTCCTAGAAACATAGAATAATCTACCTCTAACCTTAGAATAATAAACCCTCTTCCAAAAAAAAATGTAGAGTAACATACCCTTGCGCATAAAATAATAAATTTTTCTCGTTGAATCCTAGTACACTAAATTGTATTGTAATTATCATAAACCCTTTTCATTTTCATATACACTTGCTTTCATAAACTCTTTGGTCCATAAATCCTTATAGGGCTTAAGGCATGAGGTTTGAATGCCTTCTGATGTAATTTTTTAGTGTCCATTATAGAATTTCGTCTTTGTCGTAAATTTCTCAGATATGCTAATCCGAAAGGAAATTCAGGATCATTTTAGTATTATTTCAAGAATCAATGCAAACAAAGTTCGACAGATTTCCATTAACAACAAAAAGAAGCATCTTTATATAATCTGTTTTTTACAAAAAATACTAATGCACAAATGATTAAGATTACCACTGATATCCAATACATTAGCACTATGGCATCAATCGATTGTTGAACATGTGATATGCAGTATGTGGTACTATCACTAGAGTCATTACTTTGTCGTAATTTTGCAGTCTTGTCTATCGAAGTCAATGTTCCACCATACATATACCATGGAACAAAGAAAGCGTAAAAGATACAGCCACCTATCAAAGCGACAATTGTCAACGTCTTGCCTGCATTGTCTTTTAAATGAAGAACACCAGCAATAAAAAACAAGAATGATGCAACGATACCAAGAACGCCAGACACGATATTAAAAGTCGGCATCATTCGATTGGCCGGACACTGATTGATGTATAAGCCACCAACAATGATTTGAGCCAACGAGATTGGTAAGCCGCATAAGCTGACCACAGTGAGAACTACACCAATTCGAATAGATTTCGTATCGGTCATTTTGCATCTGTAATAATAGAGAGTGCTTTAATGTAGTCGAATGATCCAATAGTTTATTGTTTGCTTAAAATTTTGAAGAGTGCTGAAACGTCAAATATATAGTAGCAGGTATTGATTATGCAAAGTAACTTCGTTAACGATCTGAATACATTATGAGTCAAATAATCATAGCTTGTGTATCGTAATAGGTTTCTATTGACGCTGTTGCGATGGAAAGTAAGAGAACAAAAAATTCTGTCGTTGAGGAAGAAACAAGCAGTTACGGTCGTAAATGGATATTGTACCTCTATATAACGAACCGTTAGTATAAGACAGATATGTTGGGAACTCTTGTTTATTGTTTTGTTTTTGTCTAGAGTGGAAACGTCGAAATATCTTTACAAAATATCCGTGTTGAAATTTATACTATTGTCAATAAACCTCAATATAAAAAAAACGAAAAATGATTTGTCTTTCTTTATACATCTCAAGTAATCATAACGTGCACAAGGCAACGACAGTAAATAAGGCAAAAAGAAATCAAAAGCAAGTGCAAACCGTGCAGAGAATGAAACAAAAGAAGTTGAAAGTGTTGTATTAATGTATTCTGTACACAACATCACGCCATGAAAAGCGTCTTTTTCTCAATCCCTCTGCTAGAATGTGTTATGAGATTTCAAAGTACATATTACAAAAATGAATCACATCTGCTGAACTTGAAATCTAAATTCAGTAAATATGAACGTCTGAATTTCAGAAGTCCAACTATTCAGTCCAAATATTCACACTTTCACAAAAATACACCCAAAATAATTGTCGCTGAAATTGCCACGAAAACGTATTCACAAAGCATCTTTCTTACTGATGGCTCACATTACTACTTAGTTGTGTATAAATAATTGAGTATTAATTAATTCATTAGCTATTAAATAATAAAGTGATGTCAACAGCTTAAGAGCCACAATTGACAAACTCCTATTATTGTTAGCCATAAAACATGGACTGAAATTTATTATTAAAATATCACAAAGAAAAGTGAAGTCAAAATTTTGAGTTTACACAAATTCGAGTTCACCTGACGCATATTATATTTTTATATAGTAGTTGTTGTTTTCTTCTAATTTATTATAAAATATAATTGAGTAATGTTATAACAACACTCAAATTATTTGATTATAAAGAAAGACTACCCGTAATTTGTTGATATGTAGGTTTCTGTTGTAATTATATATTCTTGTCCTTGAAATCTAAATATAGCAGCATAATCAGAATAAAATACTTCACTTTTACCTGTTTAAAAAACAATCATATCGAATCGATAAATCAGATTACATTTCAGCACATCTTCATGAATGGATTGATCTTATTTTTGGTTATAAACAAAATGGACAAGCAGCTATTGATGCACTTAATGTATTTATGTATTATTCATATGACAAAGTTGGTAATACTAATACTATTGATGATTCTATAACACGTGAAGCAATTGATGGTATGATACAAAATTTTGGACGAATTCCATATCAACTACTTACTGAACCACATCCACAACGACAAACACGTGAACAAGCAACATTTCAAATTGATATACAAGGACGTCCTTTGAATATATTTCAAAATTTACGTCATATAAAAGTATATTTTATTGAAATAATATCTGCAAATAATCAAATATTGAATTCAATAATATTTATTTCTATTCCAAAAAATCAAATTCGATCATTTATACAACAAGGTACACCTGATACACTTGTTACTATTAATATCAATGGGATTGTTGGAAATAATGGTTAGTTAATTCTATTATTTTTCTAAAAGAAAATTTTCTATTTGAAATAAAATAGGTTGGCATTCATATGATAAATCATCAGATAATCTTTTTACATTTGAACAAGATTTAACATTACAATCTGAAAAGTAAATATTTGTTTAAGTAATTATTTTCAAATGTTATTTTGTTTTTTTTTATTTTCTTAGAAATCGACTTACTACTATTGCACCATTTTCATCTTCAATCAATATAACTTCACGTCTTTTTGCTCTTTCTCATGATGGTAAATTTATATTCAGTGGTGGTCATTGGGATTGGTCTTTATGTATTTATTCTTTGACTAAATCGAAAACAATTAGTTCAATTATTCATCATACAGATATAATAACATGTTTAGCATTAGATTCAACAGGATATATTCTTGTTACTGGTTCACGAGATACAACTTGTGTTATTTGGTATTTATCATTGAATGATAATCGACATCATATAAATATAAATGATCAAGATCTAACATCAATTATTACACCAACAATGATACTCAATGGACATACTGCTGAAATAACATGTGTTTGTGTTTCATCTGAACTTGATCTTGTTGTTTCAGGTTCATTAGATGGTACTTGTAATATTTATACAATTGAACATGGAATTTATGTACGTACATTACGACCAACTGATGCTAATAATGATCCAGTTGTTAATTTAAAATTATCTGATGAACGACATATTCTTGTACAAACAACAAATGAAGATACACATTTATTTTTATATTCAATTAATGGTTATCTTATTCGTATAAGAAAATTTGAATATCATGTTGTTGATCTGTTTTTAAGTAAACAATATATTATACTTGCTGTGAATCATCATTCAACTTCAAAATGAAAAACAGAATCAACATCATTACTTTTCATAAGAATTATTATTAAAGATATGTTTGAGTAAGGATTTTTTTAAATATAGTGAATTGAATATGTGTAATTTGATTATTCTAATTAAAGAATGACTACAATTCAAGCCCGTCGTCTTCGAATACAAATCAATTGTATTTATTTAACAAAAGATTCAAGTTATTTACTTGTTTCTGCTAAAGATGGAAAATTATTTGTATTAACACCTGAAAAAAAAGTAATACTAAAGAATCCATTAAAAAAATAACAGAGAAATTTATTTTTATTGACCGTTATTATTGTTATTTTTTTTTCATTTAATATGTTAGATTTAGTAATGTCTTATCTCGTCATTGTAAATTCTCTTTATTTCCTAACTTAAATGTCTTCTCTTTTTTATTTATCATTTGCATTTACCTTGTTTTCTTTTTGAATTTGACTCAGTTGTTTGTTTAGTATTTATATGTTGTTTTTCTGTGCTCATGTTATGTGATAGTTATAATTGTTTTCTTTGATTTTATGTTCGGCTCGTTAATATAATTCTTTTAATTGCTTTTAATCATTATATATTTGTGCACTTTTTAATATGCACATTAGTTCGAAAACGAGTAAACCGTAAAGAAAGATATTTAGATATTCTGTTTAAAATATAAATTAAAAAAAAAAGGAATCAATAGTGATAATTAAAATTTCTATTTAGATATGTTGATTAACCATCCAATTAACAACATGAAAGAAAATATTTACCAAAGGATTTGTTTTCCATGAGAGTCAATTATATGAGAATTGTCATCATTAAAATAAATCATATTATGATGATAGAAATCAATATTTTATTTTTCTTGATAGTTCTACAAAACTATAGATCCTCAGAATTCTGTACTATTTTCTGTTTGTCTTGTATTTGTTATCAACTTTTCATTTATGTCTGACATAGTTAATTGTTGTGTATTTTTATGAAGTTCTCGTTGACGATGTCGATCGAAACGAAGAATCATAATAATCACAGATGTCAAACACATCGATATAGACAATAAAAGAATACCAAGAAAAAATGATCCAGTACGATCTTTGAAGACACCTAAAAGAATAGGTCCGACACCACCACCAAGATTACCAATTGAATTAATGAGACCAATAGAACCAGCAGCGGCTGATTCACTTAAAAATAAACTTGGTAATGACCAAAATGCTGGCAAATAAGCTTTAGTACCAATCGATGCAACTGTAAAAAGAATAATCATTGTAAATAGTGGTTGTTGTCGAATTAATGTTAAACCAAGTCCAATTGCACCTATAAGAATAGGTATAGCAGTATGAAAACGTCGTTCTTTAGTTCGATCTGAACTAAATCCAATAACTAATATTCCAATAAGAGCACCAAGTGGTGGAATCATTAATAACCATGTAAGAAGACCATCACTTGGATGATACCAATCATGAAGAATAGTTGGCAAAAAGAGATCGACACCATAATTACCTGTTACAATAAAAAAATAAGCAATAGCAAGAAGAAGTACTTTATTATGACGTAAAGCTTGCAATAATGTTAAATGACCACCAGCTACTTGTTGACGTACTAATTCATGTGATAATTCTGTTTCTAGTACTTGGCATTCTTCTTCACTCAACCAATTCGCATCTTTCGGTCGATCAATCAAAAAAAATAAAACAATAATACCAATTATCACTGCCGGTATACCCCAAATGATATACATCCATTGCCAACCTTTAAGTTTAAATAATGTTCTATAGTAGATACCATTTTCGATAGTACCCATACGAAGAAAATAATAGGATATTTTTGGACTGATGAATTGAGCGATTGGTGCAGCAATAAAAAATAGAGAAAGCGCTCGAGCTCTTGCTTGTGCTGGAAACCAATGAGTTAAATAGACGACAGCACCTGGAAAGAAACCAGCTTCAGCAAGACCAAGTAAAAAACGAATTAAATAAAAATGCCATGGTTGTGTGACAATTGCTGTTAATGAAGCTAAAATACCCCAAGTAATCATAATACGACAAATCCATTTACGCGCACTCCATTTTTCAACTATTAATGTACCAGGAATTTCAAGAAGTAAATAGCCAATAAAAAAGGCTGCCTGACCAAGAGCAAATATAGTTTCTGTTCGATGACGAAATGATGGTAAATCATTGATCATTTTAAGTTTAGCCAATGAAACATTATTTCGATCAACATAAGCAATGATATATGAAAGAAATAGAAGTGGTAATAAACGCCAGTAAGCTTTAATTATGGCAGAGCGAAGTAAAGGCGACATTGAAGGAGATCCCTTTACCTAGTCAAAATTACAATAATAAAAAATTGAAAAAATCAATCACAACACTCTCCTTTATAACTGTTATTGAAAAGGTTATCTTCTAATAAAGAAAAAAAAAACATGACCTTTGTGTATGAAAATCATTGAATGTGATCATAATCTATTTGATTTAATCCCATTGATACCATTCAACCTTGTTTTTCGTTAACAAATATATTTACAAAATAATAATTTCATACTAGCAAGAAAATGTCTCATCGTATCAAATCATAACATGGATCGAAAAGATGCTTTACACTCATTAAATGTAATTTTATTTCATGCTATCTGAGACACTAAAAAGTTTCATGGTGTTGTGTGTATAGTATTGAATGGTCAAATTTGAATAAGAAAATAATTTGTCAGGATGAATTTCAACTTATACTAAATTACTGATATAAAATTAATTGAATTTTGAGATTGTTTATATATATTGAGAAGAATCATCTATTTGAATATTGACAATCAGAAATTACAATATGTCACAGCGACTTAGGTTGAGGTTTAATGTGAATACACCAAAAATAAAAACAACAATCATCAGAAGAGATTACCCAGTAATGAGATTATAAGAATATAAATTAAATCAAAAAACAAAAACAAAAAAATAAAGCTCCCTTGGAATGAGTGAAACAAAAAATATACCAATAAAAAAAACAAGCTCGATGATATATATCGAAGAAATAAGTGATCAAAAGTAAAGCTCGGATTTATTGATCTGTTAAATATAAGTTCGAATAAATTGATTTATTTAATATGTTTAATAAAACGAGCAATTCGTCGTTGATTTTCCAGTAATTGTTCTGCTTTGTTTGTTGATGGAACACTTCCACGACGACCTTGTTGCTGTTGTTGTAGTTGTTGTGGATTAATAGGTGGCAGAGGTTTATGACGATATGGTACACCGTAAGATGATGACATTGGTCGAGCCATCAAATCAGCAGTATCACCCGGTAAAGTATTATCACGTGTTGATGGTTCAGATTGAACGAAGGAAGAATTTTGGTTATGAACTATAGACGGATATTGTTGATTTTGTTGATGAGAAATTGGAAGAGGACCAGAGACACGGCGTTCAATTTCTTCAAAAGCTACAGGTGGAGAATGAAGAGATCGACCTGTCTTTCCACTGAGAACACCTACATAAAAAAAAAACAATTAGAAGTTAAACTAGATTTTCTTCTCTATTGATACCATTTTTTTTCATTGCTAATAATTGTTGACGTGCTTCAATAAGTGAATCTTTTAATTGTTCACGTTCTGTACATTCTTTATGTACAGTTTCTTGTAAAGTTATCATCTATATTGTTTAAAAAAAATGAAATTTCATATACTTCAATAAATGTATGAATTACTTCTTCTCGTGCTTGTTCTAATTCTTTTTTCAATTCATTTATAATTGATTGTGCTTGAAAAAGATTTGTTTCTTTCGCTAATAAATCTTCTTTTAACTTCAAAGTATTTATTTGGTCGTTGTTTATTGCATGTTGATTATCTATAAAAGGACATAGTTGAAAAATTCTTATTAATCATTATTATTTTGTTTTCCTTACTAATTTGTTCATGTAATTCTTTTAATACATCTCTTAATGTATCTAATTCTTTTTTTAAATCATTTTTATCTCGTTGAAGTTGTTCAATTTGCTGTTCATAATATTGTCGTTGTTCAATAGATACTTTTTCAGTTGAAATTAATTCATATCGAAGTTTTTGTGTCGAATGATCACTATCTTTTTCATATTTACGTAAAAGACCACTTGTTTTTTGTTTTTCAATATCTAATTCCTAAACATATTTTAATTATTTGATCCCAGTCAAACGTGAAAGCTTGAAAAAATGCGACTATTTCTAGGAGAATTTTCAGAAATTCATGTTTACTTGCAAAATATCTCTCAAGTCATTGTATCTTATACATGCAGGCGTAATCTATTTCAAATAGTTACACTTGTGGAGCATAAACTCAAGACAATAACACATGAATAACCTTACATGTCACAAACCCATGTATAGAAATACAATTTTTTTTTAATATTTTTAAGCAAAACATGCGAGAATGTGTATGACTCTTATCCTTGAGAATAGTTGCACGCAACATTCTTACATGTTTATACAAGATACAGAGTGATTTAAAAGTCACCAGACAGTTTTTTGATTGCGAATAACTTTTAATAGAAACAAGAAAGAAAGTTACGGTTTTTCACTGTTGAAAACAAGAGAATTGGAAGCATCGAACTATATAAGAAACATAATATTCATAATTTTCTTTTGGGAGGGTTTTAAAAAAACCACGATTAAACAAATTGATGTACTTAAAATTTAAAATGCTATGGGAACTTCGAAAATCTTAGTTTTTCAAAATCCACGTAAAAATGTTTTTGAAATATTATGTCTGTTATATGGTTCGATGCACCTCAATCTCCTCTTTTCAACAGTGAAAACCGCAGCTCTCTTTCTTGTTTCTATCAAAAGTTATGCGTAATCAAAAACTGTCTGATGACTTTTGGATCATTCTGTATATGATTCGCATGTAAATGCCAAAGTGCTATTGACGTGTACGTGCAAAATGACTCGAATTTCGCTAAATTCTGCATGTCAATGCAAAATGATCATATTTACGAAAATTATTATCAAAGCGATTCTGCGTTGGCATACAAATTTCTGTCATTTTTTTGGTGTGCATGTTGCTTCATACAAGAATTTAAGTTTTTTCCTCGTTCGTTATTTGTTTATTTACTTTGCATTAAAATGAAATCGCTTTCATATGTCCATACTATATTAGTTCAAAAATCTTAATTGATTTTTCGAATTCATCTACAGTTTTTTGTATTCATGTTCACACTCGCCTACTAGTTATTAGATGATCATTATATCTTTCAGTTTTGATTGCATTCCTAGTGTAAATAGATCATCGAATGGTGAAGAAATTCATCTTATCAAGCAAAGTATGTACGTTCGAATTGTACAGTTTACTCTGTAACCTATTCCTATGCATGTCATGTTATAGCGATTAAATGTATGTATATGCGTTTAATAAACTTTTGCATTCAACGGAGATATTTTTCAAATAATTAAATTTACTAACGATAGTAAAATTTTTTTTAAGTTGACGTTCAAGTTCAATCATTTGTATTCGATGCTGTTCGCGTTGATGATTTAATTCTGTTTGAAGACGATCAGGCCATTGTTCAGCTTCATGTAATTTAATAGCATAAGTATCATGAACTTTTTTTATTTGAATATCATGTGTAATATTAAGTGTTTCGCGTTGTTTAGTTAATTCAATATTTTCATTATGTAAACGTTCAAGTTCACGACGAATCATTTCAGATTCTACTACAATAATTGAAAGAAAGAAAAAAAGAAATAGATTTTTTTTAAAATGAATTTGAACAAATAAACGAGATTCTTACAAGTCTCTTTTTCTCGAATATTAACAAGTTCACGATAAACTTCATCGAGATCATTATATTTTCCTAATAATTTTTCATATTCATCTCTTGTACGATCAAGAATAGCCTGTCGTGATCGATTGACTTCGTCCATTTTTCGTCGAGTATTTAATTCATTTGTTTCAAATTCTTTTTTAGTTATATTCAATTCTTCATGTTCATTTGTTAACTTAATAAGTTTTGATCGAACATTTTCTAATTCAGAATCTGTTTCTACAAAAACAAAAAAAAATGTTTGATGATTATACAATATGTACTAAAATTAAATAATCAAAAAAGTTTACTTATTCGAAGTTCTTTTTCATTTGTTAATTGTTGTCGATATTGATCAATGAGAAGATCGACATTTTTTTTGGATTCATCTTTATCTAATATTTTTTGTTCTAATTGTCGACATTGTTGTTTTGTTTGTTCTAATTCATTTTGTAATTGTAATCGAATATGTTCGATTTGTGATATTTGTTGATGTAAACGTGAAAGTTCATTTTGATGAATTTGAATTTCTTTTCGAGCTGCTTCCAAATCATTCTGTGTTCTATTTAAAGATCAATAATTATAAATATTAAACAAAGAAATTTCATACTTAGTATGAGATTCTTTTGATTCAAGTTGTAATTGTTGATATTTAATTTGAAAATCTCGTAAGGATTTATTTGTTTCACTAGAGAAAAAAAGACAAAGAAATTTTATAATTTATTGAACATCAATTATTCATACTTCATTTGTTGTTGATATCTTTCAGTTTCTGTTTGATAATTGTTCATTTGTTTAGTGTATTTATCTATGGTTGTTTGTATTTCTGTTGATTAAATTTTAAAAAAAATAAATAATTAATTCGATTAATTATATTAATACCTTTTTGTAATGCCATTTCAATGGTTGAAAAATATGTTTTCCAATTTTTAATCTCTTTTAAATAGAAATCTTTTAAAGATGAATGTTCTTTTCGAATATGCTGTATTTGAGTACATGTTGCCCGAGTATTCGATGAACATTGTGACAATGCCAATCTTTAAATTACATAAAATAAAATAATAAAAAAAAAGCTTTATGTATAGTAATATTCAAGAATGATTTATACTTTGTTTCTTGATGAGCAATTTTTGATTGTTCTAATTGATCTTGTGCTAATTGACGTTTTCTTGTCATTTCATTGAGTCTACAAGAAACAAAAAACACACACACACACACAGATTTTCAAGAGACAAATTACACTGTACAAAAATACTTGTGACTATTAATTGAGACAGCCGATTCGAGATCAGTAATACGTGTTCGCTCAGTTTGTAATAATTGTTCTAGAGCAGCTTCACGTGAACTTATACCAGTATAATAAGTTAAATCAGCTTCGAGTTTTTGACATTTAATCTCTAGTGCTTTTATTTCATTATGAATTAAATAAGAAATACCACAAAATTGACAAATAGTATCTTGACGAGACATGCTTGTTATATCGACCGGTAAAGGAAACTTTGGTGTATAACGTTCAAAACGTTCTGGTTCTTGCATGTCTAAAACAAGACAAAAAGGAGATAAAAGAAAAAAAAAACTAGAAATCAATGAGATTTTCAATTTTTGATGATAAAATTAAATATGTGAAAGAACAATCTTTTTTTCTTATAAAGTAAAAGAAAAAAAAAAGTTAACACATATCTATTATAAATACAAAATAAATGGAAGATTAAAAACAAAACAAAAAAAAGAAGAGTATTTGAAATCATGATAGTACTGATTGTGATCGTTCGAGATGACGATTTGATGGTGGACATTGTGATATTGTTTTACGCATTGCAATACCTTGAGCTTGATTGAAATTTTGAACACCATCAAATTTAACTTTTGGTGCAGTTCGAGCAGATCTTGGTAACTTGCCATATTCATGAAAAAGTTTATCAACAAGACGACCTCGTCCCATATCATAATTTAAATGTGCTTGAATACCTTTCACATGTGGTTCTACTGATGGTGGACGATTATGAATGTTATGTTCAAGTATATGTGAATGCCCATAACTATTTTGCAAATTCATTTCAGCTGCATCACCTTTTACATGTGGTACTGGTTTTGGTGACAGTGGAAGATTACCATAATTATTTATAATTTGACCCATATAACCTTTTTGATGTGTATAAAAGAGATTAGAAGCCATCTAACAAAAAAAAATGATAATTAAATTTTTTATTAAATAAAATTTAATAGAGTTATAAATTTACTTCGCCTTTTATATGAGGCATTGGTTGTGCAGGTACAGGTAATTTTCCATAACTTTCTAATAATGTTTTCATATGTGTATGGTGATTTCTGTCATAATTAGCACGACCTTCTCTTTTAACACGAAAATGATGATGAGGATTAGGTGGGTCAAGATTACCATAAATAAGATTTGGTGCTGAACCACGACTTTGTGTATAATTTCGCATTGCATCAGATCCAAATACTTTAGGTGGCGGTACTGGGAAACTATCGTGTTCTGTTGACATTTTTTTACCTTCAATCGCCCATTTAGTTAAATTTAAAGTACCACGATTTTTAATATAATTTTGTATACCGTCATGATTAACACGAATCGGTAAGGATTCTTCATAATTTGGTATTGTTGATATTAATGTTGTTGGAACAGATGGTAAAATCCAATTAGCTGATTCCGAACTTAACGTTGTAGTCATGATCAATGAAGAAAACAAATCAAAAGTTTTAAATGAAATAACACAAATGTCAAAGTTTAAATGAAAATTTCGATCGATTTTGTTTTCTTTTTTTTTGTTCAAGTTACCATTCTCTTTTCTTTACTTTTAATAGAACATAATAGACATCTTATATATGTAAGTTGCTAAGCAATGTCCAACATAATTGAATAATTCTAGTTATTTTAGTGTATTTTTCTATTAATCAAGATTATAAATATATATTTAAGAATAATTGAATATTTTAGAAATAAAATTATTACTTTTGCGACATCTAAATTATAATTATAGATTGGCAAAGTACGAATTTTAGTGTTGCTACTTCCTATTGGTTGTTATATACTTCGTAAATATGCGTCATTGCTTACACAAATCCAAATCATTAAGTTTTTGTTTAGTTGCAGGATCTAATTGGGTGCTAAACTGTACACCAACCAGCAAATTTTATTATTATTATGTCCTTGTAAGACGCATGAATCAGACTTGATTATTCATTATTCAATTACCTTGGACTTATTATATTTTTCAATGTGAGGTGTCTAGGCCAAATGGTGAAAGCGTGACATATGTTTGCATATATTTATCAGCAAAGTCACCTTTGAAATATTTATTAATAGTCATTTTTATACAAGGAAAAAAACCCAGCTACTGTACTGAATCAACTATTATAAATGATGAAAAACTATTAAGAGATTCTTTTTTTTATTCCGTATTCCATTTTACTAAGCAAAGAGTTTAGTCATGTACAGAATTTTGATGTAATTAAGTGAGTTTGTCGTTCGTAGCTTTAGTTTCTTACTTGAAGTTTGAATTAGATAATAAAAAAATATTATAGCTCGTCGTTTCTTATCTTTTTCTATTTGTTTAGCATTCTTAAATACTTCTCGAAGGTTCGATTCAAAACTTCACCTATTGCGTATCTTATTTTACTGCATTTATGATAGAAAAAAAAAATAATTATTTTATAAATATGTAATCATTCATATTAATATCTAACAGCCAGACATATCGAAAATACGAAAGAAAAGATTCAATTTCATCGTGTCCTCCGTTTTATTGACATATATATTTGTTAGTTATATTTCGTTCGATTATTTATCAATCGTATATATCGTTGTAAAAATTGCTCATACCGCAAAACTGAACACAATAGAAGATGTAATGATTACATTTTCCTTTTTCTTTCTGTCTCTTTGCCTTTGTTTGTCTTTTCATCGATCTTTTGTATATATATATATATATATATACGTGTGTACGTGTGTGCTTCGACTTTTAGTAGCTAATAAGAGAAACATCGACGTGCAGCTTTGCCAACCAACAATAAAATAGACAGAAAGAGAGAGAGAGATAGATGAAGCGAAGCAAAAGAATACTCCGTCCGCCGCGTTGGTATAGTAGTGTGTCGCTCGAAGAATCATTTTCTCTCCTTTCGCATTTCATAACTCGCCCACACTAGTTTCAATGAAGTTAAACTAGGACACAGTATATATATATCTGCTTCATCTACCTTTCTTTCCTTTCTCATAGACATTGTGACTCATCAATAACTAGGGACTTTGATCTTTATTTTTATATTTTCAGATATTTTTCATTGTATTTTAAAAAACACCAAAATTTCGTTATAAATGGATTCTCATAATTATGATGCTGATTCAACAACAGATAATTGGAATAATAGACCATCGAATGATAACAGTGAGACACCAACAATAAATTCATCGAATCCAAACTATAATCCAGTTGCTGATTCATTTGCTTATAAAGGAAAAACGGAATTACAACAAGGTCAACAACAAGCTGAAAACATTGTTTCAAAGGCAAAAAAACTCGTACAACAACATTGTAAGTTAAATATATCAAACTTTGTCGATGTCTCTATATGTCTTTGATCTGCTTCGATTCAATTCTACTTAGTCACATAGACAATATTCTTTTCACATAACTAAAGAAAATTATTCTTGAGAATTGATATTAATAGACAAAATATAACCTTGACGTCTTTTTTTCGTATTAAACATGAATTATCTTTGGCAACGTTTCTTCTCGTTTCCACTCTTTAGTATGTGGTTTGGTGGTCGTCAAGCACGACGTCAATTTACGTAGATTAAATCTGACTGAGCCAATCTATAGCATATTCTCAAGTGAAAGAAATGTTGTGCACATGTTCTTCTTTCATGGAACTTGCAAACAGTCAAATGACAGATAGTTCTATATATAATTGTATGCGTGCTATTTATCATGATTTCCCTTTAGTAATTTCGTTGTCGCCATCATCCGTTGCTGCTCATACAAAATCCGAATGGGGGAAAAAAACACCAGAGCATGAAGCAAAAAAAAAGAAAAGGAACAAGAAAGAAAAAAAAAAGTCCATGGATGATGATAGATGTGCTTCGGACTGAGTCTATTGATGTTTTTTTCTTCGTTCTAGTATTGTGACGAACGAGGAAAAAAAGAGAGAAAACTCACGAGATTATATTTTCCTATTGGCACAGAACCAAGTATATTTCCCCTTTTTTTGTTTTAGGGGAACAAACTCGTCATACACTTGTTCGAGCACGAAAAAGAGTTAGCGAAATGGTACCACAATCAGGTATGAAAATCAAAAAATAAACATTTATTTCGTTGTTTTAAATATATTTTCTCAATTTTTAGCCAATAATCTTATTTATTGGAGAAATCCAATTCTATCTGGCCTTGTTTTTGGTGTTTTATTATCTGTTATTATAACATTTATGTTTTTGTCATCCTTGGCAGCTATTTCATTTTGGTTACTCGCTTCTCTTGTTGTCGTTGGTCTTTATAAATTATATAATTATGTCATGTTGACATTCGTTGGACGTGCTCAGGATGACATATTTGAGTAAGAAAAGATGTAACATCTTACAAATTGTTAATGAATTTTTGTTTGTTTTGAAATATTTAGTTCAATGTTTCCACCTGATATGTCTATTTCGGAACAAAAGGCTCGCGATTTGGCTAATGCTATTCGTGTTAATGGAACAAGTGTATTAAAACATTCAAGAAATCTTTTCTTATGGAAAAATTTAACGACTTCAATTATTGTAAAGAATATTTATAAATATCTATATAGATATATGTATATTTGTAAATTTAAATGTTCTTATATTTAATTTAGTTTGGTGTTATACTTTTTGCCTTCTTCTATATTGGTTTATCAATGAATGCATTAACATTTGTACTTATTGGCTTAGTTTTCTTATTTACTGTACCAAAGATTTACCAAGTATATCAGGTTAATAATTTATTATTTTTTAATTATAGTTATAAATAATTTGTTGTTTTTTTTTGTTTTTCTCAGGTACCAATTGATCGTACAGCTAAGCAAGTACTCGATCAAATCAACCAACTTTTGGCTAAGTAAGCGTATTTAAAATAGATCTATTATTATAATTTATTTTATATTGATATTATAGAGTCACACCAAAATCACAAAATAAACCAAAAAAACCTTAAGCAACGACTACGACAAACATATATTTTACTCATCTATGTTCAATCAAATCTTTTTTTAGACAATTTATGCTAAACTGTTTTTCTTTTCTTTTCTTCTTAAAACTAAATATGAAAGGTGGAATTACGTGCTAGACGTTCTCTTTTTTCTTGATAGACTTTTGTGTGTGTGTGTGTGTGTGTGTGTGTGTGTGTGTGTGTGTGTGTGT